CCGGGCTTAGTGCCTCCTGCTCCCCTCCCCAGGACAGCACCCCCTGCTGCCCTCTAAGAGACGGCAGCCAGCTCTGGCTGCCTCCGCTGAGGCCCCCTATTACCCCTCCCAGCACAATACCTCTGGGGGCCATGCACCAGCCCCCTAGCCTGGCCCAGTGCCCCCTGGTACTATGCCCCCTCCAACTCACAAGCCTAGCTTGGCCTCACCTTTACGAACTGAAGGTCAGTGAGGGCACGGACGCTGAAGTCAGGAACATACTGGGGCGTGGAGGCAACACTGAGCTGGTTGCTGCTGCCCCCCAGAGGTGAAGGCAGCGAGTCCGAGCGTTCAGGGTAGCTAAGTGAGGCCGAGCGATTCAGGCTGCTGCCATGGGATGGGGAACGCAGCTCTGTGAGGAGCAGGAGGCGGGTGAGTAGGGTTCCAGCCCCACCAGCCTGGGTCAACCACCAAGTCAGCCTGGGGCACTTCACAGCCCAGGGAGGGAGTGGGGGTCAGACCAGACCCCCATGGCCCTCCAGGGGAGTCAGGGCTGAGGCCTGGCCCCGCTTGGTGCATTCCCACTGCCCCCCATGTGTCCAAAGACCAAGTGCCCCCAGGTGCAGCCGAGCTGCCATGGGCCAGGTGTGGGGTAGATAGAGGCCATGGTGCCCTCTTCTGGCTGCTGCAGGAAGGACAGAGCAGCACCAACAGGGGTAAGGGAGGGGCCAGAGATACCCAGATTGGAGTGTGTGTTGTGGGGTGGGGGGCAGAGAGCTGGAAGAAGCAGGTCAGAGGGGGCAACCACCTGGACACCCAGGTTCCACACACTGGCACCTGCAAGACTCAACCTGACCGCTAGATAGCGCCCATCTAAATGCACGCTGCGGGTTGAGAATGAGGGGCACTGGCAGGGCTGGGGAGGCAGAGGCCAGGGGAACTCACCTGTGTTGGGCGGGGGGCTGAGGGCCATGACACCATAGAAGGAGAAGGCACCCGTCTCGAACTTCATATTCTCCTTGCCAGCCTCCACCTCCACCTTCCCCTGCAGGACCAAGACAGGTCAACCCCCATGGCACAGCCCCCCCCATGGCCGGCCACATTTGGGGGGGGCCCACAGCCTGGCAGCATTGCCCCCCCAGCACTCCTCACTCCCAACCCACAGCCCCCTGCCCTCCCCACCTTGCTGGTGCCCCTCACTCCTCACCCACAGACCTGTCTCATCTCCCTACCCCCACTCGCAAGCCCTGCCCATGCCCCTAACTCCCTTTGCCCCTGGGCCATGCGGACCTGCAGGATGAGGGTGAAACAGTCAGCAGGGCGGCCACGGACATAAAGAAAGTGGCGTGGGCTGCGGCGGTCAGCCTCCTCGAAATGCAGCTCCTGGATGACATCCGGGTGCTTGAGCAGCCGCAGCAGGATCTTCTCCGACATCAGATTGGGTGTGAACAATGGCACCTCTGGAGAGGCAGGGAGGGAGAGGGACAAAGATCAGGGACTCCATGGGACCAGGGTAGGGACGTGTGTGTGTACAGCATTTGGCATGGTTATGTTCCTGGCCCAGAGCTTCAGGGAGCTGTCACCAGGCAGAACATGCATGTGTGAGCATGTACAGGGTCCAATACAGTCATGCTCCCAGCCCTGAGCTGGGGGGCAGGAGGGACAGCACCAGGCTGGTACTGGGGTGCCCAGCTGGGGAGGGGGAATTGACTTGTCCCAGGCAGGGGCCTGGCTAGGGCCAGAACCCAGGAGTCCAGGGTCCTGCCTCTGCCACTTAGGGGTGGAGGGAATTGCTAAGGAGCTGTTGAGGAGGGCTGGGGAAGCTGCAGCATGCCCAGGCAGAATAGGGACAGCCCATGGCAGCCCCAG